CTCAGGCAATGGGACACTTTTGACTCTCTAGCTGAGCCTGCCAGTAACACAGGCAGGCTCAAAAGCTCAAAGGAAAAAGTACCAGTCTCTCTTGTAAAGGAACCTGAAGCACAGTCCTGAAAGCATCTGCTCATGAAACGCTTCCTGGCTGCCCAGAGAGAAAATCAAGAATGAAGCCAAGAGAGCCAAAGATCAGCTGCTCACAGCCACTGCTCGAGGGAAGGAGGCTGCAGACCTCACCGCCCAAGTGCCGCCACTGCTGCCACTACCATCGCATCTCTAGTCCCACTGGAGACGCGACGGTAGTGGGGCCCGCTGACCCAGCTGGGTCCCACTGACTACGACAAACCATCCGCACGGTGTGGCTGGGTGCTCTGGAGGCAGGCGTGAGGGCGCTTTCTCACACTGTTAGAAAGTATTTAGGAAACACCACACAAGCAAGACTACGCTAAGACCACAGCAACTACAAGGAGAAAACAGCCTACTAGAGTACCCAGTCTATTTCTCTAACCAAAGGATCCATGGTTTGTCTCACCTCAACCCGACTGCCTTGCCTATTAGGGTGAAATTTTGGCATCAGCTTTCAACGTGACTAGCAACCTTAATGCCAGCGTGTCAGTTTGTGACAGAACTTTCCAGAAATAGACATAGAAACCAGTACTGTCTGGATAAAACTTCTGCATGCTGTTGTATGTAAAATTCATCTGTTCTTTGGTCATACATTTGCATTATGATTCTGAAAAATAATCAACTGGCACAACACAATTGTTTCTACTGAGAACACTGTCAGATTGTCGCTGACTAAATCTGTCCATCAAATATGGTGGACTTCTGCATCTTATCCTTCAGGGTCCTCTAGACAGGCTGATTTTTTTTTACTATTGTTGGCAAGGGAATTAGGCACAGAAGCTACGACCTGTCTTACCATGTTTCTTATATTAGCTCCATTCCTTTGTTTTGGTGCATTTATTCTGAGTCTATTAAAACTTCCCCTCCCTAGAAAGGTCATTTTAAACAAAAACAACATATAAAAATGTTTGTGTGCAGAAGGACAGTGAACAGGTAAAATCAACAAAAAGAAAATCAAATACAGGCAGATGTACAGTAAGCAAGGTCAAATTCAAATGCTACTTACCTCTTCACTTATTCCCCGGGACCTGCACACAAGCACAATAAAAACAATCCCAAAAACAATTCCTAGAGCCATGATTACGAAGGGGATTCCAGTTACAACACTGGCTTCCAGCAGG